AAATTAATGTTATGGCATAACAAAATCAAAATGGTTAAAACGCCCTAAAGAAATATGCAGTGAATGATAACCACATGTAGGATTTTGTTTTGTATTATTTTGGGTTGGCTGCAGTGATGTATTTTTCCAACAGGGGTAGACAAATCTMTGCTCAACACCACCATAGAAGAAGAAGAGCGGTCGGGTTTGCTCACGCGCATGGCGCTACGTGAATGAATCGTAGTCTACTTGCTTGTTAAACCATTCTTTTATATCGTTTGGAGTTTATATTTATTCGTCACTTTTTTATCAAGTTAAAGGTATGTATTTTAGTAATGAATATGTATAGCTTTGCGCTAAAATGTGTTAGCTTAGTGCTAATAACAACAACGTAACTCTGACGTTTGCTTTCACTCCGTTCATTTGCTTGTTAGCATGCTAGCACGCTAGTTTGTTGTTAAAATATTATTAACACAAAAAAAGCTTTTTAAAATTAGTGTTAGACGTTTTGGTTTGATCCGTTTTCATTCTAGTGTATGTAAGGCAGGCATGCACGACCTAAAACACACGGTTAATTGTGAATACTTAGCCTGTGCGACACTCGATGTTAGCATTAGCCTATGTGCTAACTTTACAAATACAAACTGCTGTCGCTTGGAAAGGGTTGTATGACTTAACTCGTACTACAAATGTACGTTTGGTGACTGCAGGTGCACACAGTAGTAGTTAAATGTCAGTGAATGATGTAATTAGCGAACAGTCATCGCATTTTAATTTCTTATAGGTTTAATTTATATGTTTTAGTAAAACATGACAACTAAATATTGAATAACTTAAAAAACATGTTCAGTTCTTTAGGATGGAGGCTGATTTGTACGATGAGTTTGGGAACTACATCGGTCCAGAGCTGGATTCTGATGATGATGATGATGAGCTGGACGCAGAGGACAGAGATGTGGATGAGGTAAGTTTTAAACGTGCTGTCACAGCCTTATAGCAGCTGTTTCTTTCTTCATGCCTGGTTTTTGCTTTGGACAGGGTGATGAAGATGACGACGATGAGCCTGCAGATGCTGATGAAGATGTCCCTGGCATGGAGGTGGTCCTGCATGAGGACAAGAAATACTATCCCACAGCAGAGGAGGTTTACGGGCCAGAGGTGGAAACAATAGTTCAGGAAGAAGACACACAACCTCTCACAGGTCAGGCACAATAAAATCCTGATTTGCATATTTACAATGTGAAGTTGTATTTTTACTTGAAGTATTATTATTATTATTATTATTATTATTTTAAATAAACAAATTTCTGTTATGGTACTGTATAGAGTGATTGTCTATAAAATGTCATTTTAGGGGGGAAAAATCTTATTATTGTGACTTGAAAACCGGTACTACAGTTTTGCACATTTATACTTAAGGTAGATGTGAATGCCAAAGCCAGTTCAGAGATAAATTCACCTTAAAATCAGTGTAGACGAACAGAATAGACTGTTTAGAAAAGCGTTAACAGTTTTAGTGTCTTTAATCACAACTGACCATTTGTGTTATTTTTTGTATATATGATGCAGAGCCCATCATAAAGCCTGTGAGGCACAAACAGTTCACTTTGATGGAACAAGAGCTACCGGCCACTGTTTACGACATGGAGTAAGTACGCTTTCATGGTGTRAAACTCTGAAGAAACATTGCTGAAAAGATCCTAATCATGACTCCAGTTAACTGGTTTGTGTTTTAAGGTTGTGACACTTGTTTTTTTTTTTCTCTCTTGTTTCGTAGATTTCTTGCAGATCTGATGGACAGTCCTGAGCTGATCCGTAATGTCACCCTCTGTGGTCACCTTCATCACGGCAAGGTTAGCATCAGTGCTGCTTCTGATTCTAACTCGTTACTTCAGCACTAGTTAAGTCATGTCCTGAGGGTATGCTTCTAACATGACTGCACTGTAGATGCATTTACAGCTCACTAGAATTGAATAAATGTTTTGTTTTATTTATTGTTTATTTGTACAGGTACAAGTGTCACATATTAACAATACAGCACACTAAACATTTATAGCTAAGGCTCATTTGCAATGCCAGTAGATGTGAGCAACATGAAAATAAAACTGTTTAAACGAAATAAAACATTACAATATTAAGACAATTTAGACAACAAACATCATTAAAAAGGTGGCAGTTATTTGTGATTACAAAACTGTTTCTCCTTCAGAAAATGCTGTAGGCAGGAATTTCACGTTAATTCTGTACATAGTAGAAAAAGCTGTTTGATCCACATAAGTTTTTTTTAGAAAAGGAACCCTAAAGTTCCCACTGTCTGCTCCTCGAGTTAATTCTGTGCATCAAACAGGAACCAAAAGATCACTGAAAACCTGAGTCTGTTCGTTTTGGCATTTAAAAACAAGAGAATTTGACAAAGTTTTTAAAATTCATCAAGTTACGTTTCATGACTGTGATCTGATGTGTTTTCTGTCCAAGATCTTAGCTGCTCTGTTAGAATTCATTCTTAGAGGCTCGATGGTTGTAGAGGCTACACAGTAACTGAAATGAGAAATCATTTAGTGCATAAAACTGTTGGCAACATAAAATGTTAAACAATTGTTAATCTGAACGTTTACCATTCTCTGCTTACTGTTTTTATTCAGACCTGTTTTGTGGATTGCCTGATTGAGCAGACGCACCCAGAAATCAGAAAAAGGGATGATGCTGATGTGAGTGTCGTCGACACTGATTTAATATGTTTACATTTATGTTTAAAACGACGATGACCAACTCAGTTTTGAACCTTTTCAGCTCCGGTACACAGACATCCTTTTCACAGAGCAGGAGGTAAGTGGTTTGATTAATAACGTTTGATGTACGTGAAAAGTCTTTGTTCTATTTCGTTATCTCTGGTGTGTTTTTATAGAGAGGGGTCGGCATCAAAAGCACTCCTGTCACCATGGTCCTGCC